AACTGAAAAGATCTGAGAATCAGAGGTAGGAGAAACATCATGGAGTCTTCTGCATATTTTGTCTTCCCCCCCACCCCCCCTTACCTTACCCCCCACCCCCCCTTACCCTTGCCTGGAGCAGTGGTTCTCAAACTTGACCACCCATGAGAATCACCCAAAGAGCATGTTAAAGCATAGTTGGTTGGGGCCCACCCCAAGAGACTCTGATTCAGTAAGTGTGAGGTGGGGCTGGACAAGTACGGGGTGGTACTGATGCTCCGCTCCAGGGCCATGCTTTGACAAGCACTGGCCTGGAGCACGGAGACCTTCAGTTAAATGAGCAAGCTGGCTGTGTGGCTAGGGAGTGTCTGAAGTCATCCAAGTGCTTATTATTTGTGGGATTCCTCCTCTGTCCCCTAAAGTTTCAAGAACACCTGGCCCAGTCAGCCTCTGACTGATTATTGGAACTAAATTAACAGTCCTAATAGGTGGCCTTTTATTAACTTGGCTGGGTAGTATGTAATTAAAATCCACAGGTAGCTCAGAAACTTTGTTGGAATCAGTAGCTGCAATCCTTTGTCCAGATAAACTGGGGATGTAATAAGAAGGGGTGGGGGGAATTTTTTCAGAATTGTCCCCTTTCCTAACTTGCCCTTGAGTATCCTGAAACTAAGAAGCAGAAAATGGCCCGATACACCACTGAAAGCAAAACAAAAGGCATGACTGAATCATAAGTTGTAATCCTTCCTGTCAGCTCTACCTATGAAAGAGCTGTGTGATTCATCTTGAGTTCAGTGCTCCCTCCTTGGCAACAGGACACTCCCGGGCCTGCACATACACCGTCTTTGTCCCCCTCCAAGTAGAAAGATCATAAAAAGCCCGTTCCTCTGAGCTGATGCAGCCCACAGCCAGGTGAGCAGGCCCAGGGCTGTATTTCAGACCCATCCACTTAGCCAGCGCTCTGGTGGAGTGCACAGACTGTACAACCGCCTGGGGCCCCAGCCTCCCTCTCTCACACCATCTGGTGCCCCATCTGTCCCATCCACAGTGCATGGCACCAGCATGATCTTCCTCATATTCTACTCTGTTTGCACACTGGCTTCAAGGTCTCCAACCCTCTACCACTGCACCCAACACTCTATATGATTTAAAACCTGCCTCTCTTTTCAGCTTTTTTGCCACCTTTGCTCACAATTCCCAAGCTTCTGCCAAATGGAGCTACAAACTAAGCCTGGACATGCCACACTCCTTTACTGTGTGGCTTTGCACATACTATTCCTTTAGATTAGAAAGCTCTTCCAAGGCACCTGGGTGGCTCAGTTGGTTAAATGTCTGACTTGATTTCAGCTCAAGTCATGATCTGGTGTTTCACGAGTTCACAAAACTGTGAAACTGTGATGTTAGCACAGAGCCCACTTGGGATTCCCTGTCTCCCCCTCCACCTGCCCCTCCCTCCCCCCACTTGCACTCAGGAGAGTCTCTCTCTCTCTCAAAAATAAATATTTAAAAAAAATAGGAAGCTTTTCCTTCATGCCTATTCCCCATGTTTGCTTGGTCAATTTCTAGTTATTTTTGTAAAAAAATAATTTTATGTAAAAGAAACATGGCCTTATTTTAAAACTTGGAAAATGCAAAGAATTATGGGGAAAAGTCCATATTAAAAGGTTAACTGTGGTTCACACTTCTCATTCTTTATTTTTTCAAACTATTTTCTATGCATGTATATTTATGGGTCATACCTAAAAATCTGTATCATGCTTTTTTCATCTAATATTACATTGTAAGATTCGTTCTGAACTTCTATGAATTATTTGAAAACATCTTTTTTTATGACTGTGTAATTCTCATGTTTGTGTGTGTGTATACAATTGATCCTTGAACACAAGGAGCTGGAGCTATAGTCAAAAACTTGTGTGTAACTTTTGACTCCCCCAGAACTTAACTACCAATAGCCTACTATTGACTGGAAGCCTTACAGATAACATAAACAGTCAATTAACACATACTTTGTATGTTATATGTGTTACATACTGTATTCTTACAATAACAACTTTTTCTTAAATTTATTTTGTATTTATAGTCTACACAGTTTAACTGTGAGGTTTTTTTCAAGTTATTGCAAACATCCAAAAATTTTTTCCAATATATTTGTTGAGAAAAAAACCCCACAAATAAGCGAACCCGCGTAGTTCAAACCTGTGTCGTTCAAAGGTGAACTCTCTAGTATATCTGAAGAGTTTGCTTAACCCTTGTTTTGGTCTTTAGATGGTTTCCTTTTCATTTTTTTCCAATTGTAAATAATGTTACAAAGAAGAGTTTAGCACATCGCCAAGACAGCCCTTCTGTTTATTCTAGGCAATTCTAGAGTGGAATTACTAGAATGGTAGAAAAGAACACTTTTAGGTTCTTGATGTGTGCTGTCAGGTTGCTATCCAGAAAAGGTAGTCAATTTACAAACTCACCAGCCACGTTCCTCTTATTTAATAAAAGCTTCTCTGTTATTGAGACTCAATTTTTTTTTTTTGGTTTAGTCCTTGACAATTTCATTTTAATTTTGCATTTCTTGGATGAGGTTGGAAATTTTTCTACATTTATGAACCACATGCAGTTCCTCTTCTGTGAACTATCTCTTGGGATCTTCGTCCGGCATTCAGTCAGAGCCAAACTTCCTACTCATTTTCAACACTTGATTTAAGCATCTTGTCCTGGAGAAGTTCTCCTGATGATCTCACACCCAACCCCAAGTTCAGACCTCATTTTCTAACTGGACTGTGTGTGCACATTTACTCCTGGGACTTCTAAACGCTATTGTAACTGTTTACATGACTGTCTCCCCTATTAAACAATGAAAAACTCATGGGCCAGGGCTGAGTCTTAGGTATTCTTTTCCTCAGCACCTAACCAATTGCCTGGCACAATGTATGTGCCAATTAAGACTTATTTAATGATCTACTGAATAAACGAAAAGAAATAAAAGATCATTGAAGAATGGACATCTAACTTAACTTGGATTTCATCATGATGGTATATCTACACTTTGTATTAAACAGAAAGGATCACTAAGTCCTTGGATAAAGCTATGCAAACTTGTGTAGACTAATATAAATGCTAATAGAAGAGCATATAAAAATTCACACTATTAAACCACTGGAGAAAGAAATACAACTGGCAACTGTTTATTCAAAAAAAAAAAAAAAAAAACTAAACCTCTTCCTTTCATTTAAAGAAACTTCCTCTGCAAAATATTATAAAATCATGTTTATTGATTCATGTGAGACCTTATCAAATTATCTTGACAGTTATTATAGCACACCTTCCAAAAGGAGAGCACAATAAAAGAGGCATCTCCTGGGGTGCCTGGGTGGCTGAGTCGGTTGAGCGACTGACTTCAGCTCAGGTCATGATTTCGCCGTCTGTGAGTTCGAGCCCTGCGTTGGGCTCTGTGCTGACAGCTCAGAGTCTGGAGCCTGCTTCTGATTCTGTGTCTCCCTCTCTCTCTGCCCCTCCCCCTGCTCATGCTCTGTCCCTCTCTGTCTCAGAAATAAATAAACATAAAAAAAAAATTAAAAAAAAGAGGCATCTCCTCTGAAAATAAAACACATATGTATTTACCCATTAAATATACAAATGAAAGTTAAACTTGAGAACAAATGCATTTTTCATGAAGTCATCCTCTCAAATTACAACTTGTATATTCCTAATTTGGTCATTTCACAGTTCTGCTATATCAAAAACAAACAAACACACATATATATCCAGGTTAACACATCTCTGAGATAAACCAGAGATGAAAAATGGGGTTGCTGCTAAACTGGAAATAAGACAAACACTCTTGTCTTTGGAAGGGATGGCTAAGTGGGGATCTTGGGACTATTCAAATGTAGCCAGATTTCCAGCTCAGAGTCTCTGAGTGTGTTGGGGTACAAAAGGACCCTAGAAGGGCGCCTGGGTGGTGCAGTCGGTTAAGTGTCCAACTTCAGCCAGGTCACGATCTCGCAGTCCGTGAGTTCAAGCCCCGCGTCGGGCTCTGGGCTGATGGCTCAGAGCCTGGAGCCTGTTTCTGATTCTGTGTCTCCCTCTCTCTCTGCCCCTCCCCCGTTCATGCTCTGTCTCTCTCTGTCCCAAAAATAAATAAACGTTGAAAAAAAAAATTAGAAAAATAAAATTTATAAAAAACAAAACAAAACAAAACAAAAGGACCCTAGAGGTGATGAAACCTCTCTGACAGCCCCCAAGTGTTCTTTTACCAAAAGTGCAAGTTCTTACCTACAAGCTGGATTTAGAGGGTTTTTTTTGGCTTATTAGCTGCAACCATATTTCCCCCACATTTCCCTTTTGGCCATAGTGTTGCTAACCTTTGTAAACATTTAAACATACGATTAAAGTGCTCACTTGTGCTCCATCTGAGCCACATCCTGCTCCAGTTTTGAAAGCATAGCTCTCAGGGACCTCAATATGATCTTACAGTTCCCACAAAGAGCAAAATATGGCTGTTAATAGGTGGATGTTAAGGTTGTTGACATGATCCTCAATTGAGGTTAGGGGAGTCCTGGGTGGGCTTTTCTCTGTGCCAAATGCCCTGCTGCTTCACACAGCCAAACGCAGTGAACACGACTCTCTGGGAAGTCATATGTCACCATTTTTCAACGAAACATAAATCCCTCCAGCAAAGAATCCATCAATATGATAAACATATAAAATGAAGTTTCCAAAAATTGAAACATTTTGTAACCCACTCCCAAATTTCGATTCCTACTGACATCCCTACCTGAATACTAGACTTCAAAAGATAAAAACTAGTTTTTCTTCTCTAGGCTGGGGACCACAGTCACATCTTGCCTCATGTCTACTTATTTATGGACCACCTCTCCACATGAAGCAGTGAGCACCATTCCAGAGGGTGGCTGGCAAAGGCCTGTCCAAACCCTGACCTGGCTGTACTTCCCACCTCACTTCTCTGCGGAGCATCTATAATTCAGGCAATTAGGATACAAAATAAACAAATCAGGTTTCACCAGAAATGAATAGGATAAGAAATTTTAAGAACACACATCACATAATTGTAAATAATGGTGCTTCTACCGGAATCCAAATAAACACCCAGAAGTGTCATTATTCTCTCTAAAACATTAGGGACGCCACGCCCAAATGTTGGAACAATTAATATCCTCGCTTGAAGACTGTTAACGTTGGTTACACTACATGAAATTGTAGTTGCTGTTCATAACTCAAGATGAAAAAATCGACTGAACTGGTTCATGACTAGAGTGACCACAGATTGTTAAAGATGTTATCAAATACTTCTGAAAACACATTTAGATGTTTTGTTATGGGAGATAGCTTTTAAATTGTAAATTTTTTTTTTTTTTTAAATCATGGTTCTTTGATAGAAGATGTGACATATTCCTCAGCTTACCAGAGACTGGATGGTAAAACACTGTCACAGACTGGACTCCATGTTAGTTCGGCAGGAATTGCTATACCAATTTCTGTACATAAGAGGCCTTATGAAAATCTTGTGAAAAGACATCCGAAATACCGGTGTTCTGAAAATTATGAAAATCCAAGGGTCCACAATGGAGATTACAGATAGAAAACGCAAGGCTCGGAGGTCTTCCATTTCTTCCAAGGTGCCATTTTCCTCATTGACCGCTTTAAATGCTCCATAGTAAGCACGATACTGTTTTAAAGAAAAACATCCCGTTATGACACTGAAAGGCTGATGGTAGAAATAAATTCACTTACCTCACTTTAGAAACATTAATTTTTTAGGAACATGGCAACTTGGCTTGGAATATTCATTTTTGGTACAATTATAAGCAGCAAAGACCACTGCCACTGACAGGAATAAGTAAGGAGTTTGGAAGGTGCAAGGTCGACCTGAAGGCTCAGTGGAAGCGAGTGCTTCTGGGAGAGGGGTCTAAGTCCCTGAAGGCTGCTCTACTTGCTGTGATGCTGCAGGGCTGGGGTTTCCAGGTCCCTGCCAGGCTGTACACAGGAAGAGCTGACATGGGACAAATCCAGGCCACCAAATCTTTTACAAAGAGGGTCACCACGTTTCCATAAACACAGAGATTCTCTTTTCTCTGGTTTTCCTTTTTTTTCTTCTGCCTGCTTTCTGTCCTTTTATTAGCCCAGAATCAAGCCTCATTTGTGAAATGTTGCATGTTTGGAGACAACAATGAAAGAGAAACTTTTAATCAACGAGGAGACAGGAAATACTCCAGTGGGAAGATAGGAGGAGACTTACACAAGGACCTGTTCAACTCATGTGAATTACTTATTCTTAGGATAGATGCTTACCTTTCTGTGGTTGACATCCTCTTTTCAGACTAGGATACACACACACACACACACACACACACACACACACACAGAAATATAAGGCTACTTACTTGTGCCTGACCACTCATATTGTCTTGATCTTCCCCGAGGTTCTGACCTCCTTGGAGCCCTGCAAATTGTCCCATCCCATGGCTTTTCCTCCTGTTGAGCCACCATGGCCAACACTTCAGCCAGCACTACCATTGTCTCCCACTCTGCTGGAGGCCAGTCGTTATATTTCCTATGCCTACTGAGAGTCTAAATCCATAATGGGACAAAATGGACTCGAATGGGACAGAAAGCATGTAAACTCAACATTACTGGGAGGGGTTATGAATAATTGTCCAGCCCAGACCCATTCAGTGCAATCAAGGAATATGAGATGTGTCTTCCTGTAATTGCTTCCTTACTTTTTACTCTATTTTCTATAGAGCATTTCAGTGGGCTCAGACATTCCCATCTACTGCACTTAAGAAGATACACTTAGGGATGCCTGGGTGGCTCAGCTGACTGAGCATCGACTTTTGATTTTGGCTCAGGCCATGACCTCATGGTTTGTGGGTTTGAACGCTGAGTCAGGCCCTACACTAACAGCATGGAGCCTGCTTGGGATTCTCTCTCTCTTTATCTCTCTCTGCCCCTCCGCTGTCCACATGTATGCACTCTTCCTCTCTCTCAAATAAATAAAAAAGAAGTTACACTTATATCTGAATGCCCTCTCCCATCGTCACTAATAATACTAATAGTAATAATAATGGTTAGTGCCCATGTAGAGCACTGTTCTAGGCATTTCACTTTTAAAACTTCGTTTCATCCTCACAAAAATCCATTACAATCATTATCTCCATTTCAAAAATGTGAAAACTGAGCATTTTACTTTAAAACCTTTTGGATTTTACATGCCCAAATCCTAGCTCCTTTCAAGGTCCATCTCAAACATTAAGCCCTTCGGGAAGTCTCTTTCAGGGAGCGGCTAAGTCCATTAGCTTTAGAGTCTGACCATGAGGTTGCATGGAACCCTCACTTGGCTGTGTGAAATTAGGCAAGTTATTCCATTTTCTCACCTATACAATGGGGATAAGTGTACCTACCTTCCATGACTGTTTTGAAGTTTGAATAAGATGATATGAGTAAAACCTTTACAACAGGTCTTAGCACACAGTAAGAACTCAAAAATTTGCCAGTATTATTATCTTATCATTAGTAGCAATAACTTTTCTCCTCTAAACTCCCTTACAGCCCCAATCACTCCATCCCTCGTCCTGTATTATAGCTTATGTGGGCAGATGTGATATTTTTCTCATTTTATATCCCCACAGTGAATTACAGCACTGAATATTGTTTGTACCAGATACATGCTGAATTTGATAAATGGTCAACAGTAAGTTGATTTGAAAAGCAAATGCTTTATGTAAGTCTGTTTTTACATTTGTTCCTTTCTCCTCAAAGTAGAGTACAGCAAAATATAATTTTAACTATGTCATAATACTTTATTAGTTGGGAGCTGAGTAACTAAATGAGATTTACATAACTAAAACAAACCATTTTACTTCTATGCAGTATTTGTCCATGTCCGTTCTATCGCATATTATTAGGTGAATCATATTTTCAAGTCACTTGATTTATATTAGAAATGTATACCTGGCTTTTTATTTTATTTTTATTTTTTGAGTTTACTAAAAATGTGACAAATGTATTCATTTACGACATATTATATTAATTCTGAAGAGATATCAATTTAAACACAATTTAGACTTTCAAAACCTCTCTGTTGCTCAGTAATATTCTCTAGAACATACTTTATAAACTGCTCCTATAAAAGATGGCCAGAATAATGAATAACCTCAGAATATAAACCCCTCATGTTTAAAGTAGTTCAATTTACACAGTGAATTGGTATGAGAAGAGCTCCCTCTACTGGACTTAAGAGTCCAGGAAAAAAATGCTATGTTGCCAACTTGCTGGAGACGTAAGTAGCTGGACATCCCTGCTGAGGAGAGCTCTCTGGATTCTAATGCCCCTTCTATCCAGTTTATCCATCACAACACCCAGACCTGATCCTCTGCACTAGCCCCTTTAAATCCACTTTCAACTCTTTTCCCTGGACCCATGTTTTGCCCACCTCTAACAGCCTCCTTTGAAAGGAGCATCCTACCCATTCTGTTTGCCCACCAAAATGAAATACACACGAGTTCTCTCAATACAGGCAGGATGTCCTCTATCACTTCTCTGACTCCATGGATTCTGATATATGCAATTATACAAGCTCGTCCTTATCTTTATCTGGCCTATAAACTTCTCAGCTATTATGGCTAATCTATCATTAGATCCCTCTTCCATCCATCCCTGCTCCCCTACCAACCTCCAATACATTGTGGCTCTCTAAGGTAAAATGAATTTTGATGAAAATATATTACATGCATTAGAGAATGTGCTACAAACTTCTTCTAAAGCTCATCCCATAGTCTCTATATTTTCTTCCAAAAAAAAGTTTTCAAAATGGAAATCTGAAAATTCAGTTTGGTTAAGTATCTTGCTCTAATGCAGCATTATAGCAAAATTAATTTAAAAAAAATCAAACCTCAATAAATTTTTCACTGGCTTAATGAAATATATTATTCATGCTATGAGCAAGGTTTTTTTTTTCTCCCTTCACATATAGCCTTTATTTTTCCCAGTCGCCAGGCCCATTCCTTAGGAGAGTGATTTTCAAAGTGTGGGGGTTTCCAATACCTGTTCAGTGTGTCTTCAGGGTATCATATCATTAAAAAGGTACAATATCATAAAAAAGATTTATTGCCTTTTTCACTCCTAGGTGTACAGTAAGTTTTACCAAGGATACCTGATGTGTAATGACATCATCACTCCAATGGCTAATGGAATATATACTGTGTATTCTTGTGTTTGCTAGACCTTTCTTAGGTAGTTGATTTTGGATATACACATACGTACATTTTCAGAGAATGTTCTCAGTACTTCTGTGCTCCTAACATGCTTTTTCTTTCATTTCATCTTCTATAATCTCTAGAATTTTATTATCATTCATTATATCTTCGTGAAAGCCCCAAGTTTTCCTTACACCAATGCAGAAACACAAGAAGTAAGTATATTTTGTTAACTTGTTTTGCAATATTTAAAATTTTTCTTATTTAAAATTTCTAATATGATAAATACTAATAGATATAATCTACAAAAATTAAAGTTCTTTGTATCCTTAATAATGTTTAAGAGTGAAAAGGGGTCTTTAGACTAAAAAAATGTTAGAAAACCACTGCATTAGAAAATAATGCTCAGGGGGAGGAGTTAAGATGGCAGAGTAGTAAGGGGACCGTGGGCTTGTCTCCTCCTGCAAACACAACTAGCTCAACATCAAACCCTCTGAACACCTCGGAAACAGATCTGAGGATTAACAGAACAATCTGCATAATGTGAGGGAGAGAACACAGCAGGGTACATGGTGTGGAGAGGTGAATCAGGGGAGAGAAGAGCCATGGTGCCGCAGAGGGGAGGCAGAAGTATTCAGAGAGAGGAGAAAGAGGGGGAGACAGAACAGCATATCGGGTTTGTGCAAGAAAGCACTCCCCCTGAAAGCAGCAGAGAGAAACAGTAAAAATATGGACAGGGGACTGCACAAGAAAACTGTCCCCCAGAACTACTGATGGCACTGGGGGTGGGGGAGGAGACGGTTTCAATACCACCAGTTTCTTATAAACAGCAGAGCACAGAGTCTGAGGTTTAGAGGTCAGCCACTGGTGGTGCTCTGGCAAGGAATGGGGGTAGAGCCATGGGCAGTGGGGTCTGAGGACCCCCTGGGTTGCTCAGTAAGAAATGGTTCCCTTGCGAACCCTCTTGCACTGCTGGTGGGAATGCAAACTGGTGCAGCAGTTCTGGAAAACAGTGTGGAGATTCCTCAAAAAATTAAAAATAGACCTACCCTGTGACCCAGCAATAGCACTGCTAGGAATTTACCCAAGGGATACAGGAGTACTGATGCATAGGGGCACTTGTACCCCAATGTTTATAGCAGCACTCTCAACAATAGCCAAATTATGGAAAGAGCCTAAATGTCCATCAACTGATGAATGGATAAAGAAATTGTGGTTTATATACACAATGGAGTACTATGTGGCAATGAGAAAGAATGAAATATGGCCCTTTGTAGCAACGTGGATGGAACTGGAGAGTGTGATGCTAAGTGAAATAAGCCATACAGAGAAAGACAGATACCATATGGTTTCACTCTTAGGTGGATCCTGAGAAACTTAACAGAAACCCATGGGGGAGGGGAAGGAAAAAAAAAAAGAGGTCAGAGAGGGAGAGAGCCACAGCATAAGAGACTCTTAAAAACTGAGAACA